GGTGGGAAGAAATTCCCACTTTTCACACTAGAAGCATCCTTGACTTTGGGTATCCATCATCCAAGATACAGCTTGTAAGAGAGCAAATTGAATTAGGAAAAAAAAAGTGGGTTATTGTTTGTTGCACCAAAATGGGTAGCGAAGCTGTCTCCCTTGCTTTGGGAACGGTGAAGGATTTGTTAGCTGAAGAAGCCAGATTCTTGAGCGGAGTGGCGGATCAAGTCAAGGAAGTTGAAGTATATTTGATACGGATGCAATGTTTCTTGAAAGACGCCGACAAAAGGCAATTGAATGATTCGACTGTCCGTAATTATGTCAGGGAGATCAGGCGTCTTGCTTACAGAACTGAAGATGTCTTGGAGAAGTTTGCCGTTGAAATCGAATCCAGGAGAAGGGGCCACGGCTTCCGTAAGGCTTTCAGAAGATTTTCGTGCCTAATTTCTGAAGGAATGTCTCTTCACAGAGTTGGTTCAGAGATAGCTAGCATCAAAGCAGGAATCAACAGCCTCACCACAGATCTGGAAAATTATGGCGTCATTGCATTGAGCAGTACTGAAGACGGTCAAAGTTCCAATGCGAGATTGGATCAGAATCAACAGCGGCTGAGACAAACCTATCCCCATCAAGTTGAGGAATATTTTGTTGGGATGAAAGATGATATAAGACAGCTTGTGTCCCTCATCACTGATGAGGGAATTAGATCACATCGAGTTATTTCAGTACATGGGATGGGCGGTCTCGGTAAGACCACTCTTGCCAGGAAGATCTACAAGCACATTGAAGTAGAACGTGCTTTCAAACAGTTTGCTTGGGTTTCGGTTACCCAACAGTGCAATACGATGACCGTCTTCCGAGACATTCTGAAGCAGCTTGTCCCGGACCAGAGGAAGGACAGTGTTGGGAAGATGGATGAGAGGGAATTGGTAGGAGAGCTTTATAAAGTGCAGAAAGAGACAAAAAGCTTTGTTGTTCTTGATGACCTGTGGAAAATTGAGGACTGGGAGTGTCTCAAAGTAGCATTTCCATTTGCAGAGGCGGATAGCAAAATTTTGATTACAACTCGGAACCAGAAACTCGTAGAAGATGAATTCCTCTATCCACTCAACCTTCTGAACGAGGATGAAGGCTGGGAGTTACTTCAAAAGAGACCTTTTACCAAAAGAAATGGCGCAGGTTAGCTTTTCTCTAGTGAAGTACATATATCTGACTTGCATTAGTTAAAACAGAATAAAAAGTTTGATACTTATTCCTACAGATTCTATGCCGTTCATACCTGTATGCATTTCTGTTAGCTTTTTTTACACGTAATTCACACTTTTCTCTCTTGTAGATTCTGAAAGTGATCCGCAGTTGGAAGCAGTAGGGAGGGCAATTGTTGGCAAGTGTGGAAACCTGCCCTTAGCAATCTCTGCAATTGGAGGAGTTCTGAGTCAAAAGACTTCACTCGAGGAGTGGGAGACAGTGAAGAATGATGTGGATTCGTATATAAGGATGAGTGAAGGTGGCAAAGAAGAAGGGTATGGAGCCGTGTTGCAGGTGTTGGCTCTGAGTTATGACGAGCTACCCTACCACTTGAAGCCATGTTTTCTTTACCTGGGGCAATTTCGTGAGGATGAGGACATAGATGCAGAGATGTTGTATCGAATGTGGACAGCAGAAGGGATGGTCTCAGCAGATCATGGCGGAAAAGGAGAAACTCTGACAGATGTAGCTGAAAGGTACTTGTATGAGATGGCTAGTAGGTCAATCCTTCAGGTGAAGTTCGATGAGTTCTCGACGGCCAGAAAGGTTAAGTCATGCTACCTTCATGATCTGATGAGGGAATTCTGCCTGGCCCGCGGAAAAGAAGTTGAATTTCTCAAGTTGCTTGATTTTCGAGGAGGAAATGATCCCTTGTCGGATTATTCTACAGAGCGCGACGACAGTACTCCTAGATGTTCCATTCACACGGAAGATGATGAAAAGCATGACGACATGGAAGATGATAAAAGTCATGTTGACTCTATGATAAGTAGGGCACTGGAAGCCAGTGGACAACTGCGTTCTTTAACATTAAGTGGTGGCTCTGGATATCCGGAGGTAAGCATCTCATTTCCTCGAGTAATATGTGATTCAAACAAGTTCAAATATGTAAAGGTTCTCAAATTCGAGGGTTACGATTTCATGGGCAAAGGTTTGCCTAAAGGAATAAAGAAGCTGGTCAGTTTGAGGTTCCTCAGTGTAAAGGACAGTATCTTGTTTGAACTTCCATCATCCATAGGTCAATTACAGTACCTGGAGACACTTGATATACGAGTCTGTAATACGATTACGGTGCCTGATGTCTTGTGCAAATTGAAAGGATTGAAGCATTTGTATTTTACTGGAGTCTACCGCCGTACAGAAGATGGACTACTAAGTTTTCTTGGCTTAAGTGAGCTGGAGACTTTAGTTGGCTTTGACGATAGTGTCGGAGACTTGAAACATTTGTCAGGGTTGAGTAATCTAAGGTTCCTCCATGCAACTGTGAATATCAGTAAAGAGAAGAACGATCTCCCTCAGATGCTCAATTACTTGAATTCCAACCGACACAAGCTGCGGGAGGCTCAATTGGAGATTATTGCAGATGGTCAAAATGAAGTAGTGCTTCCTTTTCTAGATCTTTTGTCCTGCCATTGTCTCCACCAATTGATCATGCGCTTGGGAAGGTGGGAGTTTCAAAAAGTTAGAGCACCCCTTTCCCCCTCGAACCTCAGTGAGTTACGTTTGTTTGGGTGTTCAATTGAAGGAGATCCAATGAGTGTCTTGGGAGATCTTCCAAACTTGAGGAGCCTGCTTTTTTGTGATGTGGAGTTGGTGGAGAGAAATGTGATGATTATTGATGCAAATGCTTTTCCAAAACTCGTATCTCTGGAGATCACTGCCATAAAAAACTTAGAAAAGTGGGTGGTGGCTGAAGGATCCATGCCTAACCTATCTCATCTTGAAATCGCGTATTGTCATGAACTGGAGATGACTCCTGATGAGTATTACAACACTCAGAAAGTTGGAAATTAGAATGCCTGAAGAATTCATCGTCCAAAGAATTCATGGGATCGATGGGCGTGGAGGACCGGATCATGACAAAATCAGTCGCGTCCCCGTGATTAAAATTGGATCTTATGGAAGCCAACTGATGACATCTCGAGCGAAGAAGCTTCCAGTTCTGTGGATTGCAAGTCTAGCCATCACTGAAGCCGCTGCTTCACTGAAGAATCTTTTATATGTTCTATAAAAGTTAAAACCTATTATTATTATGTACTGCTTACTCCTCCTGTAGGGCATTTCTATCAGAAGAAAAATAAATTTGTGAAGTCTTCTTGTAAATTCTAAAGTTCATTAATCTTGTAGCCATAACTTTCCACACTTACAGTATCAGAAATACGACATTTACAGACACGCGGCATAACATAAAAGACCTGACTGGAAATAAATGTTTCCAACATGCTGCAGACTCTTTCAGGGCATACTTGTCGACGTCCAAATCCATTTCTTCTCCGGTAGACTTCATTAGTTTCCAGCTTCTTGATCCGGCGTCCTTCTTCCTCCCCACCTCATCATCCCGCCCCACACCACTTATCCTCCTCCTTAATCTCACACCAGCTCCAACCATCTCAAACACTTCCCAAATCAATAAAAAATACTATTACTACTGTGTTTTGTGTGTATAATTATGGCTTCATATATATATGGTTTATGCAAGGTGTAATTCACTTCTCACTTTTTTTTGAGTTTCTTGGAAAATGTCATGCACATTTGCGGGTTTGTTTTACTTCTTGAATTCTGGTAACTTCGACAAATATTAAATCTTTTTTATTGGTTATCTATACATCTGTGGAGTATACTTTTTTTTTTTGGGTCGAGATTGAACGAGAAGCAACTCTAATAATAAATTTCTCAAAACAAGGGTTAATTAATTTGGGAGTAAATCTTTCTCACACTGATGGTGTATACACTATCATTGTTGGATTCATGACATGTGTGCAAAAGTTGAATTTTAGTGTATATATTGTCAGTGTAGGAAAGATTAATCCTTAATTTGGTGCAGAAAAAAGCTTGTGGAGGTTTTGTGGAGATTGGGACATCTGTTCTATAAGACCTATTATTATGTAGTACTTACTCCTCTAAGGCATTTCTATCAGAAGAAAAATAAATTTGTGAAGTCTTCTAAATTCTAAAGTTCATTAATAATGTTGGTACACAATTGAGCTATTCTTCTGATTCTTTTCTTTTTCTCTTTTTTTTTTTTTCCCGTTCTCATGACATAAGCAAGTGAGCTATTGTGGTCGAAAGATTTTCTGCATTCGACGCTGTCCATACTATAGTACACTTAAGTTGGATTTAATACTAGCTTTCGTGGGAAGGCAGTTACCATCCTTGAGTAATTCTTCCATAAAAAGGGAAATAAATAGATAAATAAATAAAAGGGTGCAAACATAAACTGTCGTCTTCCAATAGTATAAGTTGTACTAGGAAACATTGAATCCAGTAGGCACGTGAAGTCAATGCGACATTTGAATAGTTGATGATATATAATGGAACGTGAGGAGTGACTTCAGCAATTTTGTTAGCAAAAACGAAACGGTTGAAGAGTTCTGTCGAATTCTCCTGCATGCATTCTAATATAAAAAAAAAAAAAAAAATCAAAGTGAATTGTAAATTTTGTCAAGTGAATTATGAGTTTTATTTTTTTAAAAATTAAGTAATAAATTTTAGAAGTTGTGAGATTGGGTTTTTGGTAATAAGTAAGCATATTTTATGATAATAAAACATTTTTTTTTTTTTTTTACATGATATGATAACAAAACTCACTACTTGTATAACTAAACTTACGACTTATTGCTTGAAAAAGTTATCATTCACTTGTCGTGTCGTGAGAAAACATTACAACACTCTTCTAAAATTTACAATTGGCCCTTTTTCTTCTCAACTCATTTGTGATATAATTCCTCAAGTGGGCATCTACACAGAAAATTTCTCTCTTCTTGTGTATTTGTCCCGCCATAATAAATTGGATAACAATAACGAGATGAATAAAGAAGCAGTAAACCACTAATAAGAAATGAGAGCCAATGAGGAGATAGCAGAATGGAAAAACAATTAAGAAAACTGGGGCCTTAACAAACCATGGTAGAAATGGCAGAAAACCAGAATGGATATCATGAGAGGTAAAGACTAGGGACTGAATTACTGAAGAAATGTTTCCTCGAGAAATGAACAACGGAGGCAGCACACATTTTTACCGGCTCTCGGAATGAACTCAGTACCATCTCAGCCATCTCATTCATGCTCACCATCTCATCGCTTCCAATATTTACCGGCTCTCGGAAGTCTGATTTCGTCAATCTGAACATACAGAAGGGGTTCATATAAGGATTCCAGAAGCAGCTTATGAAGCAACCATATCAGAATTCATATCATGATTACTCTAAATTCACAAATTTGAACATTGGCAGTGAATAGACTGCACAATTATTCTTCAGTGAATATGCACTAGCATATAGGCTCCTACATGATTTTTCCATTAATGTCTAGGGTAGCATTGCATAAAGACCACAATCATCAACAGGCATTCTAATTAGCCTATGAGCACTTTCTCTATGACCATAAAGGAGTGCACATTAGAAGAACAGGAAGCATCATATGAAATCACAGTTTTAGAAGATATCAGACTAATCCAGATCTGCCATTTTGAAGTTATGAATTTGACAGTGAGCATGTTCTAGGTTTAGCTTGACATATAGACCTCCTGAATGATTTTGCTATCTTTTAAGAATTAGCACCTTTTGATAATTCACAACTCATGAGAGGAATCTAGAGTTCACCATTTTACCATGCTGCTATCATCAGCAAGCAATTCAATCAGCTAAACCATCATTTCATCACAAGCCCCAAATCATGTATTTGGACAACGGACAGGAGCATACCTCAAAACACCTTCAACACATTCATCAATGAAGGTAAAAGATCGAGTTTGTAGCCCATCTCCCCACATCTCAAACTTGTCAGTGGAGGTAATGGCCTTCCTACAAAATGCAGCTGGTGCTTTTTCCCTCCCACCTACAGGTGTCAATGAAGAAGTTAATAGATATCATGGAAGACTTCTCAGGAGTACAAGATACCAATTATCTGATGCTACCAGAAGTCGAAGCTTACCTTTCCATGTCCCAAATGGACCATAAATGTTATGGAACCTTCCAATCCGGCACTCAATTCCAAAGTCCTTGTTGTAGTGCTTACAAATTTCTTCAGTTGCCAACTTCTCTAAGCCATAAGCGTCTTGGGGCTAAAACACAATTCATACAAAACTAAATCATAATCTAAAAATTGCCCCATTGAATAATATTCATCTTTTATTAGAAACAAGGGAGGACCTCAGCTGGCCAAGCATCAGACTCTTTCAGGCTGACATTAGTGTCCAATTGTTTGAATTCAGGATAGATGCAAGCACTGGATGCATAAAAGAACCTGCAACTCAAATATGAAGAAGTAAACATCATGCATAAGAAAACATTGGCAACTAAAAGGACTAGTGACGTATGACGTGGAAGTGTTGCTACCAAAAGGGAAAACTTTAATTTATAAACACGAAGAAAGATGTTAATATTTATCAGATGTAAACTCAAATTTCGTAATACATGTAGTTCTTTTGACATTTATTAGCATGAAAAAGTAAGACTAACAGCCCTCTGTTTCATATGATCAGACCTCAGATGGACTAGAGTAATTATTAAGCAGGTAGACTCTAAAGCGGTTTGATAGTCATTCAACTTCCGTCAAGATCAACTTTACCATACAATGTCTAAATTAACTTCTCCAAAAGGCAATAAGTTATACATTTGACAGATAACTTAGACATCTTATCTCATGATAAATCTGTGAAAATTTGAAACGCTAACATGAAGGTATGTCTTTTTTATCTTCTTTGCGAATAATAACACATTGAAGGATATTAAGCAGGTAGAGATGGCAGACCTTCTGACCCCATTGATCCTTGCGGCTTCAATCATATTAAAACTGATCATTGTGTTGTTATACATGATGACTGAGTGGTTGGATTGTATGAAGCCCATGCCTCCCATATCTGCTGCTAGATTGAAGACATGATCAACTCCTTTAGTGACTTTAAGACAGTTGTCCATAACCCTGAGATCAACGAGGTGGAATTCATCACAGAACATGTCTTCTGTCATGTGCTCATTTTTCTTCCAGTCAGAAGCTATGATGTAATGGCCCTCACTCTTCAAACGCCTGGCAATATGTGATGCAATAAATCCACCAGCTCCAGTAATTGAAATTCGGAGGTTCTCCGAAGGCCAGTAGGGCTCCCTCTCAAGATTCTCGTAGGTGTAAGCCGCATATTTTGTTTCACAGTTACTTCCCATTCTACGCGTATCAATAGGGTGGAAGAAAGAAATTTCTAGATTAGACAACCACGAACAGTTCTTATGATGGAGCACACAAACGTAGGGAACAATATCAGATGAAGAAACGCTCCTAGGAAGTCAAGTGGCAAAATGTGAGAGATGATTGGTCCATTTTCTCCGAAAGCATGCAATAGACAGTTAATGATAGTAGATGAAACAAAATGGAAGGAAAGCAGGAACTAGGAATGAAAGTTAGACAAATGTAACTATCATCATTGCTATAATAACGTGGAGGGAAACAGCCAAAACACTGAAAGATGGAAACTTGCCAGATAACAAGATATGCTAATAATAGAACAATAACTCAGATTTCATTCAAGGAAAGTAAATGGTCCAGTAACAAAATTACCTCTTAGCTAGTGAATAGTCAAATTATAAAAACCATGACACAACAAAAGAAGCCTAAAGAACAAAACTTTACAGAATGTTATTAAAAGGTAATGAAACTCATTCTAGCACTACTATGATCTGACAAAGAACATGCAAAACAAACCCTTAAAGAGAAAGATATAAAACCAGCATCCCAGAGAAGGAGAAACAGCAGAGCATCCTAAAAATTCTACAAAAACGGGGGGAAACTTGAAATAACTAAAAACAAACGTTTTCCCGGCTTTCACAAACTAGAGTGGAAAGACTGGGATTAACTACATAAGAAAATAATCCAACAAATCATCCATTCTACATATGCAGAGCATCAAACGCACGGGATATAAAAAATTAGAGCTTTTGCCAGTAAAGAAACAAAGGATGCAAACTAACAGCCAAAACCATCAAAATCGAACCAAACAAAATCGACCCTTTATCGATCATGGTCAACTTCAAGAAACCCAGAAAAGTTTCAATAAAACTCAAAAGCAGAAACTGATTAAATCAATAACGACTAGCATTTATGGTCAGAGTAAAAAGAGATGATACTGAAATACTGAATTATTACCTCAATGTCCAAAGAAAGCTAGCCTTATGGAGTCCACAAATATGCGAATGATATATGGGATAAGACAGACGAAGATTATATGCTATAGAAGTCGTTGTTTCGGTCAAAAACTGGATCCCTGATTATGGCCGTTCACTTCTCCTCCCTGCTCTACTATTTGTAGTGCTACAGATGACAAAGCGGCGGCTAAGCTTTTAAATGTTTTTTAAATGCATATTTACCTTTTTTTCGAGGAACTAACTCTTTTCCAATATGGTGGGAAAGAAAGGATTGAAGTTAAAATTGGGAAAGTCTATACATGCATGGTGACAATAATTGTGCTTTTATACATTTAAATATAAATAAATTACATATTGATTATTGTCCAATGTCCATACATCATTGGTTAGGAAAATGTATTTATTTGTTATTTTTTGAGAATTAATAAATTTATTTTCCTCATTTTATTTAGTACGAGTTGCTTACCCACCAGCTGTATTACATTTTGATTTTCTGCACCTCTAGCCAACGGAATATTTTTAAGCTTTATTTTTGTTGTTTCTTTGATGTTTCTCTAGAGTTCTCCACTTGTAAACCAAAATGACATTATTTTGATTCATAATTTAGCTGAATATCTTTCTTTCTTTCTTTTTTTTGGGGAAAATATTCAATCATGATAATGTGATCTCATTATGATTTTTCTTGTTTTAATATACCACTACCAATTATGTTAGTTGGTTGCCGAAACCTTAAAGAGGTATAATCTTATATTATTAAAAGATGGTTCAACTGATGGATCGATGGATAGACTAGTAGGTCACTAAAAGATTATTCATAAATACATATAATATATTAATTGATAAGTAAAGTGTTTTAAATATCATTGATTGTATTAAAAAAGATATATTACGAATATGTAAATACTAATAAATCACTCAATTTACTTATATCATACTTAACAAATATAGATAATGTATTTAATGATAAAATAAGATTACTTTATTTATTATACACAATAAATAACAATTTTAGTTTGAAAGTTGAATTGATTGTATAATAAAAATATATTTGAAGAGACATCTTATCAACGAGTGAAAACTTTAACTAAGAGATCTAAGGTTCAAATCTTGATAAAAGCATACATTTGTGGCACAAAAAAAAATCCACTAGGTTATGAAAAAATCGACAAAATTTATGGTTGAACCATTGAATCAAGCGCGGGATATAATGAGTTTGACTCGATCAATTCCTTATTTAGTTACATTAAGAATTTGAGCCAGTTCATCACAGCAAGCAATTTAATTGCCGGATGGATAGAGTTAGGTTTAATAACTATTTATATTGGTATAACTATTTTTTCCCTTCAATTTTTGCAATCATTGGAAACGAATATTTCTTTTTTGGTCAAATACTCAAAATGAACATCCAATTCAACAAAATGGTATAAGATCACAAGGACGTCATCTCGTAGCGTCCATAATTGACCTCAATTTGGGACCGGCCAGAAGGTTCTGTTCTAATATGGGATCGTCACAGTTCAAAAACCAAGAGTCCTAATTAGAAAATTTTTCCTTTTCGTTTTGGGGTTGATTTCAAAGTCTAGTTTTAGAATATAGCTCCTCAAATTTTATAAGTAAATCTAATTTGTTCAACAATACGTCAAGCATCAATTGTAACGTTATTTCAAGAATACATCAAGCATCAATTGTAGTGTTACAGACTATAATATTATGTTTTTATTTTATATACATCACATCATAAAAAATATTACAAAAATTATTCTAGATAATATTTCAAATGATACTCTGTTTTTGCTTTCCCTTCTAAGCCTTGCGGTTTACACCTATGCCTTCTCTGGTTCTTCATTTTTTGTTTTTTGAAGCATATTCTCTCATTCTACCTTAGTATGTAAAGTAGTACTATTACCTTGTTTGTACTGTCATTTTTTTCTAAAATTATTTTATATTTTTCAATCACCTTTTTACTTCACGTACATAAACAAATAATCTAATGGTTTCTTAATTATGAGGAATTAGGAAAGTTCCATCCTACCATTGCAATGCCTTTCTCCATAATCAAACTTCTTAAAAGGTCAGATTTAATGCTCATGCATAACAACTTATTTGGCTGGCTTTGTTTTTAGAAAAAAAAAAAAGTGAAAGGTTTAGAACTCAAAATTTTCTATTTACGATCCCACACACATGTGGTTGGCTCAATTAATCACGCAGGACAAGAAAAGAAACATATTTTAGCACGACTAGAAGAACAATTAAAGTGGTTTCAGGATGATCATCGTGCAAGCGAGCATATTTTGTTGCTTGTTGCGAGGTCTTTGGATGACAAAGAAAGAAAGAAAGCGAGCATATTTTGTTGCTTCTTGTGAGGTCTTTGGATGACAAAGAAAGAAAGAAAGAAAGGAGTTGAGTTGTATACAGAGTGACGTGCAACCCAGCAAAGGAACATATGCCATTTGAAAGTTGGTGTGCAAGGCATCAGCAGGCTTGCCATAAAGGTAGCAACAGGTCATGAAAAACTTATCTGGGTTCTTACTCCGGTACGCATAAAATACAAATGCTTTTCTGTTGTTATTTTGATTGCCTTGCTCAATTATTTCGTCTCAACTAACTATTTTCAGACAAGTTCTAGTCCGTACAAACCAATCTCATACTTATATTGCATCGGTTTGGGTATCCATCATCCAAGATACAGCTCGTAAGAGAGCAAATTGAATTAGAAAAAAAAAAGTGGATTTTTGTTTGTTGCACCAAAATGGGTAGCGAAGCTGTCTCCTTTGCTTTGGGAACGGTGAAGGATTTGTTAGCTGAAGAAGCCAGATTCTTGAGCGGAGTGGCGGATCAAGTCAAGGAAGTTGAAGTAGAATTGATACGGATGCAATGTTTCTTGAAAGACGCCGACAAAAAGCAATTGAATGATTCGACAGTCCGTAATTATGTCAGGGAGATCAGGCGTCTTGCTTACAGAACTGAAGATGTCTTGGAGAAGTTTGCCGTTGAAATCGAATCCAGGAGAAGAGGCCACGGCTTCCGTAAGGCTTTCAGAAGATTTGCGTGCCTAATTTCTGAAGGAATATCTCTTCACAGAGTTGGTTCAGAGATAGCTAGCATCAAATCAGGAATCAACAGCCTCACCACAAATCTGGAAACTTATGGTGTCATAGCATTGAGCAGTACTGAAGACGGGCAAAGTTCCAATGCGAGATTGGATCAGAATCAACAGCGGCTGAGACAAACCTATCCCCATCACGTTGAGGAATATTTTGTTGGGATGGAAGATGATATAAGACAGCTTGTGTCCCTCATCACTGATGAGGGACTTAGATCACATCGAGTTATTTCAGTACATGGGATGGGCGGTCTCGGTAAGACCACTCTTGCCAGGAAGATCTACAAGCACATTGAAGTAGAACGTGCTTTCAAACAGTTTGCTTGGGTTTCCGTTACCCAACAGTGCAATACGATGACTGTCTTTCGAGACATTCTGAAGCAGCTTGTCCTGGAGCAGAGGAAGGAAAGTGTTGAGAAGATGGATGAGGGGGAATTGGTAGGAGAGCTTTATAGAGTGCAGAAAGAGACAAAAAGCTTAGTTGTTCTTGATGACCTGTGGGAAATTGAGGACTGGAAGCGTCTCAGTGTAGCATTTCCATTTGCAGAGGCGGATAGCAAAATTTTGATTACAACTCGGAACCAGAAACTCGCAGAAGTTGAATTCCCCTATCCACTCAACCTTCTGAACGAGGATGAAGGCTGGGAGTTACTTCAAAAGAGAGCTTTTGCCAAAAGAAATGGCGCAGGTTAGCTTTTCTCTAGTGAAGTACATATATCTGACTTGCATTAGTTAAAACAGAATAAAAAGTTTGATACTTATTCCTATAGATTCTATGCCGTTCATACCTGTATGCATTTCTGTTAGCTTTTTTTTTACTTGGCAAATTTAGAAGCGTTAGTCTCCAAACCAAGTGGAATAGTTACATTTTCACATCCAAAAAAACAAAGGTACATCTTTTTGACAAATTATAGAGGAACGTAATTTACATTTTTCTCTCTTGCAGATTGTGAAAGTGATCCACGGTTGGAAACAGTAGGGAGGGCAATTGTTCTCAAGTGTGGAAACCTACCCTTAGCAATCTCTGCAATTGGAGGAGTTTTGAGTCAAAAGACTTCACTCGAGGAGTGGGAGACAGTGAAGAATGATGTGGATTCGTATATAAGGATGAGTGAAGGTGGCAAAGAAGGGTATGGAGCCGTGTTGCAGGTGTTGGCTCTGAGTTATGACGAGCTACCCAACCACTTGAAGCCATGTTTTCTTTACCTGGGGCAATTTCGTGAGGATGAGGACATAGATGCAGAGATGTTGTATCGAATGTGGACAGCAGAAGGGATGGTCTCATCAGATCATCGCGGAAAAGGAGAAACTCTGACAGATGTAGCTGAAAGGTACTTGTACGAGATGGCTAGTAGGTCAATGCTTCAGGTGAAGTTGTATGAGTTCTCGCCAGCGAGAAAGGTTAGGTCATGCTACCTTCATGATCTGATGAGGGACTTCTGCCTGGCCCGTGGAAAAGAAGTTGAATTTCTCAAGTTGCTTGATTTTCGAGGAGGAAATGACCCCTTGTCGGATTATTCTACAGAGCGCGACGACAGTACGCCTAGATGTTCCATTCACACGGAAGATGATGAAAAGCATGGTCTGGGTGATGTTGACTCTATGATAAGTATGGCACTGGAAGCCAGTGGACAACTGCGTTCTTTTACATTAAGTGGTGGCTGTGGATTTCCTCGAGTAATATTTGATTCAAACAAGTGCAAATATCTAAAGGTTCTCAAATTCGAGGGTTATGATTTCACGGGCAAAGGTTTGCCTAAAGGAATAAAGAAGCTGGTCAATTTGAGGTTCCTCAGTGTAAAGGACAGTGTCTTGGAGACACTTCCATCATCCATAGGTCAATTACAGTACCTGGAGACACTTGATATGCGAGTCAGTGTAACGATGAGGGTGCCTGATGTCTTGTGCAAATTGAAAGGATTGAAGCATGTGTATTTTTCTGGAGTCCTCCGCCGTACAGAGGTAAGTTTTCTTGGCTTAAGTAAGCTGGAGACTTTAGTTGGCTTTGACGATGATGTCGGAGACTTGAAACATTTGTCAGGGTTGAATAATCTAAGGTTCCTC